ATAAAACAAAGACCAACTTAGGCCAATTGTGTGAAGTGTTTGTCTTGTTAGAATCCACACTATCTCTTGGATGTTTGACAAGGGAGTCTTATAGGTCAAGAGGACAGTGGGAGTCTTAAAGGTCTTGAAAGTCTCAAGAACTAATCAAGAATAAAACCTAAAGTTCTTCACTAGCACACGACTTGAGGTTTATAACCTATCGTGTTGACATATCTGTGCCCATTCTAGTTAAAGTTGGCTTTGCATATGAGTTCTTAGAGTTCTCAATGTGTGCACAACAACTTGGAAGCAATGGTAGGCCCTTGAGCTGCCAGGTGGCAAGAAGTTAAGATTGAGTTCAGTCCATATGAGTTTGGATTTGTCATTATCCTTGTCTTGTGACTATGGTTTTGACAATTCACATGGATAAGAACACATACACCATTAAATCTAAGTGTCATAAGGTTTCTCTCCGATTCATGAAAATGATGGTGAGGAAACACTTTCACTAAGTAGATTTTAGTTAGATAGCAATTGTGATATTTGCATTCTCAAAGTCGTTAGTGGAGCGTGTGTGGTTTACCGGCACACTAACCTGGACTTGTGAGAAGTGGCAAAAAGGTCTAACCATTATGATTACGGCATCCCTCTTCATAATTGTTTAGACACACAAGTGTGCTATCTAAGGGAAGGTGTATATTTTGATAAAGTTTTATCAAAACAATCCAGTATCAGAAATTTGAACTTTGGTAAGAAAGTCAATAAAGTATTGATTTCTAGAAGTCCAGCTGATTTCTGAGTACATGTCAAAGCTAGTGGGAGCATAAGTGTTATGCTAATAATCATCATGTTAGTGGGAGCATGATAATTATGATAAGTATTGCAAGTTAGCAATGTTAATTATAGAAAACAAAAGGTTTCAATTAGGAAAAGTTGTTTTGCTATAATTAAGGGAGAGGAAATTATACTTCATCTCAAATCTATAAGCTTAGATCGTGAGGTTTTAATCATTTAGTCAAGGATATATATGAATTTCATGTTGGAATGGCTCAACATAAGGAAATTCTGTATATGGGTCCATTATTTGCGTTCTAAAATTCGATTATGATTACGGCATCCCTTTTCATAATCTGAATTATGAGAACTTGGCAAATAGAAATGGAAATGTTATAGCAAAAGACGGTTTAGTCTTTATGTGAGACATCATGAATCGTGTCCCATATGCTTCGGATATAGGATCGATTACATGTGCTATATTCATCCTTTCTAAAAGTTTCCAAATGCCTGGGGCATTAAGAAGGGAAAAGGTTTAGAACTGGATATGACTAAAAGGATTAAACAATTGTCGAGGACAATCTAAGGTTTACCAAAGATTGGTTGCTCAAGGATTGTTGGAAGTATAGTGATAATTCTGGAAGGACCATATTGACATAATCTGTAAGGAGGCAACTCTTGTTCAGAAGTGATAGTCGAAATGGAATCTGGAAATGTTTCAAAGTTAGAATTTTCAATCTGTGTAAGATTAAGAAAACTTAATGCAAGAAGGATGGTTTCAAAGAGTTAATCTCCTTTGGAATGCTCTGTAATGATTGTTGCCAAGTCTTTGTGAATTTGTGCATAATCGTTACAAGAGGATCAATGCATATAAGTTTAGAATCTAACAGATTTCAGTAAATGGCATGAATTTGGAATTCTTGCATTTGCAGTAAGGATTTGGGAGTGTGAAAAGAGAATTGTTGAAGTTATGTTCAATTAATTTAGTTCACAAAGTAAAGATCATAGACAAACATAGTATGCATACTTGGTGTGTGGCATGACTAGTGTTTAGAAAACATAGTGTACATGCTTGGAGCATGGGACAACTATTGTTTTTAAATTCAAGAATAAAGTTGATAGCTGAAACAGTATACAATGAATAATGTTAATCATATGGTGATAAATAAAAGGTGTTTTATTTATGTTAATAGGTTTTGATACCATATTGGATTCAATTACTATTGTGTTTCACTTTGCATGTTTTGACTTCCCGAATAAGCTAGGTCATTCTTCTAGAATGACTAAGTTATTCAAACCATCCACAGTCGGTCATATGTTGGAAGTATATATGAATTAAGACTGTCATGGGTTGGCTTGTAGAGGTCTAAGGTATTGGACAAATGGCTACAACACTCATGAGTGCTCATAAGTTCTGAGTAATGGATTCAACCCGCGCTCATTGGAATCACTTCATGGATTTTATCACGAGTGATCATGAGACGATAATATCTTATATTCTTCAAACCTAGAGATATGAGTTGTTACTATGAGTTGGTTGTACATTGATTGCACGAAAATGCATTGGTAACTCGATGTTATTAAACGTGTTTTTGTGTATGATTCAACAAGTAGTAGAACAAGCCATATGAGTCGAAGTTTATCCATTCCTTTTACCTTCGGGATAAAAGCGATATCTGTGGGCCCCTCGATGATTTGATGATGACAAATGGAAGTGCTCGGCCGGGCCAGGACTGATTTGATTTGTTCAATTAGTCAGTCGTCATAAATCGGAAATCGGGAAACAACAAATGGACAGAGAGAATGATTATAATCCATGTCTCAGTCCATATGATATCTAGAATGGAGGAATAGATGATCCCTTATCTAATGGACAAGTCATTGACAAGATCATAGTTCATCTACAAGGTCAGAGTTCGACAGAAGCTTTTGAGAGCTACGATTTCCAGTTGGTTCCTGAAGTCATACACAATAATAGTTTTAGACTTATCCAAGTGGGAGACTGTTGGATTAATGTCTAAGTCCATAACTATAATTGGTAAGACTTGACCCGACCCGGCATGGTCCATTTGGGTTGCATACCATCATGCACTTGGATAGACTAAATGAGAGAAATAAAACACTTATGGTTATTAATATATTATAAGTTCTAGTATATTAATAATAAGAATAATGAGATTATTTAATTAGTATTGATCAAGAATTAATCTAGCATTAATTGAGTGATCAAAAGAAGACTAATTAAATATGTGGGTTGATTGTGTAAATCATCCATACTTGTATAGTGGGCTAATGCTCCATGGATTATCTAGTTGGGCCAAAACCCATATGATGCTCCATGGATGCTCCATGGTGTATTTGAACCCATGGATCCAAGGAAATGGAAAGTCATGACAATTAGGGTTTACCCTAATTGTATAACTATATAAGCATCTTATTCTTGAGGAAAATCGGCCACTAGTGAGAGTAAGAAAGGGCTAGCCGATTTTCATGAAGTGTAGAACTCTCTCAAGTTATTCTAAGTGTTTTGATGATTGTGAACCATTTGAGGTGTCACACTTGGGGCACTAGGCACTCAAGCTTCATGAAGACAAGCACCATCAAAGAGGTATGTATTCTATCTTGTTATATTGATAGTTTTGTATGCTAGTTTAGGATAATACCTTGGATGTTCATATTTGCATGTATAATAGAGAAAACATAGATCCAAGGTATTTAGGGTTTCATGTACACTTAGGAGTGTTAGAATGCTCATAACCCAACAATAACTTTCTTTTGGGCAAGCCTTATTGAGATCAGTGAAATCGACACACATCCTCACCTTTTCGTCAACTTTCTTTACCAGTAGTGGATTAGCTATCCATTTTGGGAATTGAGTGGATCTCATGATCCCAACTCTTACTAATGCTTTGACTTCCTTTTTGATGATTTCGTTTCTTTCTTTAGCCATGTTGCAGTTTTTTTGCTTTACTGGTGTGCATGAGGAATCGATATTCAAATGATGCTCTATTACTGATCTTGGGATACATGTCATATATGCGAGTGTCCATGTGAATGTATCTTGGTATTTTCTTAACATCGTCATTGATCTTCCCGTAGTTCCCTAGGGAGATTAACCCCTATTTTGATTGTGTGATCCTTGTGGCTTTTACTGATAATCACCTTTTCAGTGTCTACCAAAGAAACTCCTTCTTCTTCCATGGGCTCAACTTGCTCAGGTTGCACAACATGGCTATGATCAGGAGGGCCTGGGGTGGTGTTTTGAACTATTTTCACCCCTTCTTTAGTAGGGAATTTAAGTAGGCCATGCACAGTGGATGAAAGACATTGAAGTTTCCACAAACCGGTTGCGTGACCCAACTCCTTCTTCTTCCATTGTTTGAAGCGTTGTTGTTTTCAACAAACTTCTCATTAACTTTTAATGATCGTTTTTTTTCTCTTCTTAGACTCTCCCACTCCTTCATAGGCTTCTTGTCAATATGTAAAGTAACGGTCATTCAACCTTCCCCTCTCGATTTGGTGTGGCCTTCTCTTGGAATGCCAGGACACTCCTTTTGACTGAGATGAGTACGTTGTAATTCACTCTTCTTTCTTTGCTTTTCCTGCCTTGGCCTTTCCTTCCATTCTTGATTTTTCGGTGCTTTCACCCTCTTGTCTTAGGAACCGGTTGATTTTTCATATCATCTCTTCTGCATTGGCCCAATCTCACCTTACCATCTTTTGAAATAGCTTCCCTTCTCGAAACCTATAGGTGAATGGTGTTATGATCATAGGGTCGTCCTGGGTTGGCATCTTTTTACTAATCTCGTTAAATCTCTTAAAATATGCTTTTTTTTTATTCTACATCACGTTGGCGACATGCATATATTGCATGTGCTTGCTGCTGGAGCCTTCATTGTTGTATGAAGTTGTTGCAGAATTTCTGACATAGCTCCTCGAAGATCCCTATACTTCAAGTTGGTAAACTAGTGAGCCGTTATCGGGCAGATCCATCCAAGTTCCCCGTGAAGTATAGACACCATAATTTCCAGTCCATTGGTATCATCTTCATTGCTCACTGGAAATTGGATCCATGATCATTTGGATCTCTGGTTCCGTCATAAGGTTGCACCATTGGCCTTTTCAATCCTTTGGGGATGGGTTTTTCGTTAATGTTATTCGTAAAGGGAGAGTAGAAGTTTAGATTCTTGAATGCTTGGTTGTATTGCTTTGCCTCCATTACTTCAGGTAGCTTCTGCTATCTTTTTTTAAGTGTTTTCTGTGTTGGATAGTCGATCCACATCCTCCTCATCCTTGCTTAATCTCTTTCCGCGAGGACTCTCCTCCTTTTCTTCTTCGTTGGAATCCTCCGTTTGGTCTATGTGCACTAAGATTCGATCCCACTCCTTCTTTTTCTGGAGTTGTCTTTTGTTTTTTAATATTCTTATGGCTCTAAAACTTTTGAATGTTTCGAATTCATCTAGCTCCATCTCTTCTGCCATTTTACCTTCTAAGTTTGCTCCCTCATCACTAACAAATTTTCCGGCGATCGTGCTCTAATGTCTTACCACAGTAGCAACCTGCGCGGTTGCTTCTGGGCCTTCTAGATTTTACACTCTTGCGACGAGACTTGATCCGCCTGCTAGCGTGCTTGTGCTGACTATTTGTTGTAGATTCCCACAGATGGCGCCACTTGATGCGCCCTTAGGTCCGCCTTCCATCTTTCATTTAAGGATCCAATATCCTATGAGAATGTGATTGACCATAAGACTACAAACAAACCATAAGCAACCAAAAACGATAGGATCCCCAGACGATTCTCTGACGGTTAAGTTAGCGAAAGGCTATGTATTCGATTGAATATACACGAGAATTAGAAGTAGATTCTATGTACTTAGCTTCTTGGCATGTCGAGACTTCTATTTATAATGGTGTAGAGGTGGCAAGCTCTTCCTACATTGACCCTATCATACCATCTTATCACATTTATGGTATAACGCATGAAGGTACGACCATTGGTTCTATGCATACCGTTATACAGGTCTCGTGTGGCTGTATAAGGATCTTTTGACAACGTATCCTCGTACAGGCTGTATCTTTATAGTTTCAAGACACTGTCATTACCATTCTTGATGTCACCTTGTACCTTTCTATATTCCTTCTTTCTCAAAATTCGTTATGCCAGTTTGGTGTTTGATGGTTTAGGTATCTTTGAACATGCTGGTTTAGGATGTTTAGGAAAGGATAAGGGTATTTCCGGATTATACCCCATTAGTTTCCTATGTTTTGGTTTCGTAGTTATTAGTCTAGTCTTCACATATTTAGTTAATTTGTTTTGATAGGTTGTTTTAGCTTAGACCTCATTGGTCATTGCCTAACTGATTCTCTTAGGTCCACCTATATAAGGGATAAGAGAGAGAGAGAGAGAGAGAGATAGATAGATAGATAGATAGATAGAGAGAGAGAGAGAAAGAGAGAGAACCTTTTAAGAGATGATCTTACTAATGGGATTTAGGTAAACAAACAAAAATAAAACCCTTGAGTTTGCATGCAACCTAAATAGGATCTATTTTTTCTCTATTGAATGTATAATTAAGAATATCAAAAGGAAACCTGCAAACCTTAGGCATTTTTCGAAATTAGCATTAGAAGGTTATAGGAATACATACCTTTCTTTTAGATCTCTTGGAAGCAAGCACCACAAGTATCATGCCTCTAATGGAATCACATCCAAGCTATCAAGAGAATGAATTAGGAGAAAGGAGGGAATCTATTTACAATGATTTTAGTAGGATAGCATGGTTGAAAACAAGGGCTAGGGACCTACTTATATAGTTGAAGAAACTTGGTATCAAAGCTAGGATATTCCCTAGATCCTTTGCTTGGTGATCAAGCATCCCAAAACCCTTTGTACAAGGGGCCTTGGACGAAATATCTCAGGGTTTCCCTAGAGATTTTTGTCCACCTCTTTCAAGAGGTTCTAGAGCCTTCCTTTCTCAATTATTAATAAATAATAAAACAGTCCCTTTACTTTTAATTAATTCAATTAATTCCAATTAATTTCTGATTAATTATTAATTAAATAATATGATTTTAATTAATATATTTGTTTCATAATATATTACTAAACCATTTATTTAATTTATTAGTCACATAATAAATTAATCTCTCTCTCTCACTCTCTCTCTAAAATCGCTAGGTTTGAGGGTAACCCAAAAGGACTATGCTACTATCAATTCAAGTACATACCAATTTTAGTTAGGGCTTAGACACCTAATCCAACAGTCTACCACTTAGATAAGTCTATAACTATGATTACTAGTATAACTTCTGAATCGATCAGCAAATTGTAGCTTCGAAAAGCCGTTGTCGAACTCTGGCCCAGTCAATTATGTGTCCTAAGATAAGTGATCATATAATCCTCCATTCTGCAAGATATCATTCGAACATGAGACATGGAATACAATCAATCTCATTGTCCAATACTTTGTTTCCCGATTTCTAATTTGTAATCACATAGAACTTCTAAGTGAACACATCAAATTAATCTTGGTTGGGCCCAAAACTATAAGTCAACGCCAACTCATCGAGGGTCCCAAAGATATTACTTTTCTTATTAAGGAAAAAGGAATGAATAAACTTTGACGTATATGCTTGCACCATTTACTCATCAAATTATGCACAACAATACGTTTTATAACATCAAATTACTGATGCGTTTACACATTATCAATGCACAACCAAATTGTAAAATACAACTCATATTTATCCGTTTTGAAGATTATAAGATGTTACCATCTTAGAATTACTCGTGATAAATTCCATGAAGTAATTATTTGAGAATGGGTTAATCCAATACTTAAATCTCCATTTCTACATACTCATCAACATTACAACAATACTATTGCCATGTCTAACATCTTAGACAATCTACAATCCATTTCATGACAATCTTAATCCATTACTTACTTCCAAAAGTATGAACGACTGTGGAGTTTTGAATAAATAAATTATTCAAGAAGTAAAACATGCAAAAATGAAACACAAGAATAAATAGATGATAAAAGGTAGTAAACAAACTCATAAATAACTCTCTATTATTTAATCACCAAAAGTTAACTACATTTACTTTGTTACAAGTTTCAAAATAACTATCTAACTACTAAAACTAATATCATCTCTCAGAATCATGCTCCTAGCATGCTGAATGTGCTTAGCCTTACTCAGACCCTTTGTGAGTGGATCTGCATGATTCTCTTCAGATGATATTCTCTTCGTAGTGAGGTGACCTGCTTCTACTCTATGTCTGATGAAATGGTATTTACTGTTGATATGTCTTGATCTTCTATGATCTCTTGGCTCCTTCGTCAAGGCAACCGCCTGTTCATTATCATAGAAAAGTTTCATCGAATCCTTAATGGTTGGAACAACTCCAAGATCTCTGATGAAATTCTTCAACCAAATTATTTCCTTCCATGCTTTGCTTGCAGCTACGTACTCAGATTCACAAGTAGAATCAGCCACTATCTCTTTCTTTGAACTTTTCCAAGTAACTACTCCTCTTTTTAAGGTAAACACCCAACCAGATTGAGAACGAAAGTTTTCTATATGTTTTTGAAAGATAACGTCGCTATACCCAATTACTCTCAATGTATCACTGCCACCAAGTACTAGTATGCAGTCCTCAGTCCTATACAGATACTTGATAATGTTCCTAACTGCTATCCAATGAGCTTTATGTGGATTTCCCTGATAATGACTGACCATACTAAAAGCAAAGGACACGTTAGAGCGAGTACATGTCATAGCATACATGACAGATCCAACAGCGGAATAGTAGGGAATCCTACTCATTTCTGCTATTTCTACATTGGTACTTGGACTCTAAGTCTTGGTCAGTTAGTCTTTTACTCCTATCCCTCAGAATTCTCCTTTCTTGGAATTTTCCATACTAAAACATTTTAGCACCTTTTCCAAATATGTATTTCGACTAAGTCCGATTAGTCTTTTACTCCTATCCCTCATAATTCTTATCTCCAGAATATAGGTAGCCTCACCTATGTCCTTCACAACGAAACACTTTCTAAGCCAAGCCTTAACCTCTTGCAAAGTTGGAATGTCATTTCATGTAACGAGTATGTTATCAACATATAATACTAGGAATGTTACTATACTCCCACTAGCTTTAACATATACACAAGACTCAAATTTACCTCTAGTGAAACCAAACTCCTTCACTTCCTTTTCGAAACTAAGATATTATCTACGAGATGCTTGTTTCAATCCATAGATTGATTTCTCAAGCTTACACACTCTATCAGGAAACTTTTCATCAACAAAACCCTCTGGCTGACTCATGTAAACATCTTCAACCAACTTCCCATTAAGGAAAACAGTTTTTACATCCATTTGCCAAATTCCATAGTCATGAAAGGCCACTATGGCTAGCAATATCCTGATTTATTATATCTTATCCATTGGCAAGAAGGTCTGATCATAGTCAATCCCTAGGGTTTGGTAGTCCTTTTGCAACCAGTCGTGATTTGAATGTGTGTACATTACCATCAATTTCGGTCTTCTTCTTGAAGATCTATTTGCAACCAACTTTCTTCCAACATGGTTGTTTATCAACCAAATTCCAAACTTGGTTGTCAGACATGGAATTGATCTCGCTTTCCATTATTGTAACATTTGTTACCTGAGGTAATAATAATAATTTAATATACTTGTAATTATTTATTATACTATAAGAGTAATGATGAACTAAGTGAGTTGGGCCTTTTTGGGCCGCATGTATTTGGGCCACCTAAAGAGGTACGTTGGGCGTAAGCTTGGCGTACGCGGGGCGTAGAAGTAGTATCATATATGGGGGGGGGGGGCAGAGGTGTGTACACGCCTCGTACCAAGGTGTATACACAACGTACACAAGTAGACTCAAAACCCCAATTTTTAGGGTTTAAGCCATATAAATACAACACTATATCCTAAACCCTAGCCTCCTTACCAACCACCTCGACTCAAAAACCCTAAAAACCTTTCATTCATCATCCTTGTGTGCTTTTGGCCTTGTGAAGCTTATTTTAGTGATTTGAAGCTTGGAAGGAGAAGGAAGAAGTTGAAGAAGAAGAACTTGAGTAGATTAAGCTCAGTACACTGAGATGACATCACCATTTGGCATTCATTTGAGGTAAAAAGCTCTCAACTTGTCTCATGAATGCTTAGATTTATGTTAATTAGACATGGAAATTTCAGACACGAAGACACGAATCCGTGAGAGACATGACATGACACGAATACACGACACAAATACGTCTTAAAAATTGAGATAAAGCTTATTTCTCATCGTGTAATCATATCGTGTCAAATTCGTGGCTGACATGTTTTCATGACACAAATACACGAATTGTCAGGTCTAATGTTAATGGTGTTTTGGACCTTTTTAGGTCCTATGAATGGATTTTTATGGTTCCAATCCATTTTTAGGCTTAGGCTTGCTACCCTTTCTGCTATATGAGTCCCAAGAGCAAAAAAGTTTCAATCTTGAAGGTCCTTTTGTGACCATGCATGAGTCCTAGCCATTTCCATGGAAAATAGTTCTTATATTTCAAGTTTGGGTCCATTTAGTGGGTTACATGCCACCAAGTAATCAAATTTATGGGTTAAGACATGTTAATGGACTTAGATCTAAGTTTTCAGGTTAAGGTCTTGAGGGATTAATCAC